CATACAGACTCCCCCACCCCCATGTCATCCAAAATAAGCAAAGAAAAGACCCCCGCCCCCCTATAGTGCTTTCGTAATACTTGAACGGCCCCTAACACCGCAGCCTGCTGCTAACTCGGACGGGTTTGCGATGGATCCGCTTCCACAATAGTCTTCAATTCTTCATTATCAATCTTGGATTCCGGCCGCCCACAGAGATTGCTTTGCAGGTCGAAATTTCCAGAACGAAAACGTTGGAACTAAAAATGCACGTGTTTTCTTTTGCGAGACCACTGCCATACACATCATTAATACTTCGAACCGTTTAGCACCGTGTAGCACTGGTGCCACAGCGGAACTCGTACTCGTAATTAACGCGATATTTTAAGTTTTTCTTTTTGTATGCTGTGAGTGACCCAAAGTCTAGTCTGGATCTATTAAACACCGAAGTGTGATACCATTACCTGATTTCGACTGTGCGCTTACTAATGCTGTTGCAAGTAATACTTGACAGTTTGAGGTCGAAAAACAGGCTGTGACACTAGTGGCTTCATCTTGAGACGATGATGATGTGGACGCGTGTGCTACGACGTCTTGTTCAACCGATTGATTAGCAATACCTGTAGTGTCGGTTGAATTATGATTGGTAATTTTTTTTTTTTTTTTTTCACAGAGATGGTGTTATATCTTATTACATAAGACTATAAGTCAGGAAATCTGTATAAATTTTTAAGCTTTGTTAAATGTCCTGACGACTTGAGTGCCAGATCTAAAAGCTGATTAGGAGTTGAGCCTATATGTCTCTTCTGAAGATTATTTAACCTCTCAAGTGTCAGATCCAAATCTCCAAGCTTGATCACTTTCATTGGAAGTCCTAAAAATTTGGGAATCAACTTAATCCCAGATGATAAACTTTTGATTAGAGGATTTTCATTGATTGTACTACTAGGCATACTGACATCTCTTCTCCCAGGGGGAGATTTCCTATCTGTAACGACGGGGCTTGAAGAGTCTGATGCAGGAGATAAATATTCATTTGTTACATTGAATACATATGATTTCTGAGTCCTGCCTTTCTCCACAGATACTACTCCTGGAATTGAGGTGTATTTTTTTTATCGCTTCTTCTAATATATCTCTGACTCTGTAAACTGCAGAATTAGACTCCAAGAACGATAAATCCACCTCTATCTTTCTGTCATTAATGTGCTTCAGATCAAATTTCCCCGAGTTGTCTAGCATCTGTGTTACTACTTTGGATATTACTCCACTCTCCTGATGTGCCGCGACAGCCCCCTCATCTGAATAATCCATGCTGTTCTCGTCATCCGAATCGTGTGGGTAGTTGGAATCCATATCAGTATTCTCCTTCGAGCTGCCCCTCCGGAGGGATTCCTTTCTGATCTGCTGATCCCATATATCAGGCATATCCCGATTCGTCTCTGTGGTCTCCTCCGTACTCTCCTCCTCCTCGTGAGGATTATTATCGTCATACGCTTCAGAATCATGTTTTGGTAATTGAGTGTTCCAATTCTGTTTCTTAGCTACTCGCTTTGCGGAAGATAAATCCGGTACTGTAAACATCCCTGTTGAAATTCTTTCTCAAGTTTTTTTCATATAGGGGTGTTGTGTGTTATCCAAAAAATATTACCAATCATAATTCAACCGACACTACAGGTATTGCTAATCAATCGGTTGAACAAGACGTCGTAGCACACGCGTCCACATCATCATCGTCTCAAGATGAAGCCACTAGTGTCACAGCAAACTGTGTTTTTCGACCTCAAACTCAACTTAGAGGTCAACGAGACAGGTTCTCTAAGTCTATGGTTTCAGGATTAGGGAGTGATCAAAATCACCTCTAAGTCTATGGTTACACTACAGTCACTTCTTGATTCCAACTTTACATTTAAAGTACAGGCTTTTGTTTTGAGTAAAGTAACTTCATTCCTTCCTGAAAAGCAAATTATTGTAGATTTATGGTCGGAGTTCTCAAACATAGAACTAGCAGATCCATCATTTCGGAAACCAAACAAAATCGACATTCTTCTTGGAGCTGATGTTTACAGTCAGATTTTGTTAGATGGTGTAATTAAAGGACCTCCAGGTGTACCTATGGCTCAGCGAACTTCGCTTGGCTGGATAATTTCTGGCTCTGTAAATATAGGTTCATCAATGACAAAAAATCCAATAAGTATGCACATTTCTCATGTAAATGAAGATGAGTTATTAAAGAGATTTTGGGAATTAGAAGCTGATACTTGTTTAGATTCAAACAAGCATTTAACTGACGAAAATATAGCTTTGAAAGGAAATATACAGTTAAATGTAGATAGTATAATGAAAATTCTTGGCCTTACTTGGAATCGAAGTAGTGATGAATTCGAATATGTTGTACAGTTACCTCAACTAAAGATACCAGTAACCAAAAGAAATGTTATATCTGACATCTCTCGTATTTTTGATCCACTTGGATGGTTAGCTCCAGTGGTTATCAGAGCAAAAATATTTATTCAAAAATTATGGCTTTCTGGTATAAACTGGGATGATGAATTACCTACACACCTGTTAAATGAGTGGCTATTGTACAGAGAAAATCTACACAAACTTACCGACATTAAGTTTGAACGATGGATTAACACTAGGGTTCATTCCCGGGAATTCTCGGTTCGAGAATTCCCGGGAAATTCATGGGTTTTGTTCCCGGGAAATCAAGCTCGAGAACTCGAGAAATCATGTACCTATATAGAAATTAAATTGCCCTTTGTTTTTTCAATAATTTAAGATATTAACGTTTTTGTTTTCTTTCGTGTTATTTTTTTATTTTGTAGAAACTATTTTTGTTTACGTTGTTTTTTTTTCTAAATAAGCAGCCAAAAATGGTGCTGTCATTATAAATATAAGTCTGAATAATTAGGTCCTAAAAAATTTAAATTGGCGTTTTGTAAGGGAATAACCTGAAGTATTTATTTTCAAAATATAATATATTTATTTAATCAAAGTATCTACCATTCCTATTTATGCACTTTTGCCTTTTGTTTTTGCACTTTGGACTGCCCCATCGGAGTTAAATTTTTTCCCTTGGAAGAAGTTATCCAAATTTCGAAAAAATGGTAATTTTTCCAATTGAACCTCTTCTAATTTGGTAACTGTCTGTTGTGCAGTATGTGGTCAAGCGCTCTTGGCGATTGACCAGCCTCGGTTGTTTAGCAGCTAGCTTTTCCATCATGGTTTCTCAATTGCTGACAATACACATTTGCCGTAATCGTCTGGCCAGATTTAAGAAAGCTGAAGTGAACAACACCGGAAATAGTCCACCAAACGTTCACAAGTAACATTTTTTTAGCCATATTTCGCTTGGGGCAGGATTTGGTTGGTTCGCCAGGGTTTAGCCATTGCAATGAGCGTTTCCGATTATCGTACAAGATCCACTTTCCACCACAGGAGATGATTTGATTTAAAATCCCTTCATTATTATGCCGGTTGATTAATGTAACGCAGCAGGCTACGCGCGTTTGTCGATTTACTCCATTGAATTCATGAGGGACCCACTTTTCAAGCTTTTTCACCTTCCCAATTTGCTAAAGGATTAAAACAGTTTTGTCACTAAGGGGCTGTTCAAGTATTACGTAAGCAGATTTATCACAATTATTTACCCCCCATCCCCCGTTGTCAGCAAAAGTAAGCAAAGCTCTTACCCCCTCCACCCATGCTTACGTAAACATCTCTCAATTAATGTATTGTTTTTTTTAGCAAAGACAATGTGAGGGTTGCCATTCGTGTAAAAAAGTAAATTACGACCGATGACGTAATCATCATACAGACTCCCCCACCCCCATGTCATCCAAAATAAGCAAAGAAAAGACCCCCCGCCCCCCTATAGTGCTTTCGTAATACTTGAACGGCCCCTAACACCGCAGCCTGCTGCTAACTCGGACGGGTTTGCGATGGATCCGCTTCCACAATAGTCTTCAATTCTTCATTATCAATCTTGGATTCCGGCCGCCCACAGAGATTGCTTTGCAGGTCGAAATTTCCAGAACGAAAACGTTGGAACTAAAAATGCACGTGTTTTCTTTTGCGAGACCACTGCCATACACATCATTAATACTTCGAACCGTTTAGCACCGTGTAGCACTGGTGCCACAGCGGAACTCGTACTCGTAATTAACGCGATATTTTAAGTTTTTCTTTTTGTATGCTGTGAGTGACCCAAAGTGAATAGCTGTATAAATTTGGAAATGGCATTCCTAACCAAATAGGAGATATTTGAGATCAAAGTGGCCAGTACGACAAAACGCCAATTTCATATGGACCTAATAATATTTCTCTATTAAAAAAAAATATTCATAATATTAATTATTTTAAATATACTCAATAAAAGTTTAATTTGATACTTTTATTTGAGAGGAAAACCACTGAATTTCATTGACGTTATTGGAACCAAATAATATGAGAAAACGTACGTAAATGTAAATTTCTCGACAACCCGAGAAGACCCGAGAAATTGACCTCGAGAATTCTCGAGACCCGAGAAATTGAAAAGCTCGAGAAATCATGAACCCTATACCCAATTGATCACTATTTTGTAATAAAATATTAAATTAAAGAAAAACCACGACCGCCAAATTCAACGTTTCCCGCCTTTTTCAAAATAGTGTTTTATAGATTTAAAAAACACAACAATAAAAGCTTTCATCTATTTTTTTCATAGATAAAACACATTGACACAAGGTTGAGTCTGTTCTTTTTTACCTCAACATATACTAACGAATCATTTGAAACAATTCAGTATCAGTCAAATAGCCTATTAATTTCAAAAATTATTATCTCTAAAACACGTTGAAATTTTAGGAGTAGACTAACAAAAACTATCAAACAAAATATTCAACTCTCAAATCGGTTGTAGATATAGATTGTACAGTTGAGTCAAAAAAATTTTGCACCCTTTACTGTGTGTGTTTTCTTAGATATCCAGGGTGCATTTCATAATGTTAACTCTTTAATCATGATTCATATTCTTGATGATATATAGAGAAATGCGGAGGCGGAAGGAGGAGAGACGGAGACGGAGGAGAAAGGCGAATGCGGATGCAAGTGTCGGCCAAAATAGTTCTAATAGACATATGTTGGATATTGACTTTAATTTTTCTAATTTGTATTATAAAACTTTGAGTTAGTGTACTTGTTAATTTGAGCTAAAAATACTTCTATCCAGAGCCATAAAATATATTAATAAAAGAGAAAAAAAAGCCTGACTTGACACTGTCAAGTTAGGCTTTTTTGCTGTCAAGTTGACAGAACATAAATAATAGTGCACATAACTTAACCTGATGTTATTTATTTAATTTGATTGTAAAATATGGATGAATTAGAAATAAAACGTGAATATCTTATTGATGAAGAATTGCTATGTCGAACTTGTCTCAGCGTCGGTCGGAGACTCGTACCGCTGGAGAAATATTTCCATATTTATATGCAATTGTTTCCTGAATATGAAGTAAGTTTTAATACTTCAATATTTTATTATATTCATGTATATATAAAAATTACATGTCACGTTGTTTGTCCGCGATGGACTACTGAACCGATTGCAAATTATATTTGCACGTTGTGTGCAATTTGATCCAACTTAAAAGATAGGATAACTTACATCTCAATTTGTAGTCGCAATATTATTTTATTCAAAAACCGTAGCCACAACGCGTGGCCGGGTTTGCTAGTATTTATATATTTTGGAGCAGATCTCTACTGTGGGATAATAATAATATAATATTTATTTAGCAATACATCAGTACTTATTCCTAGTTTATCTTTATATATAAAAATTATTGTAATTTTTTTTGGCCGCGATGGACTCGTACTGAACCGATTGCAAATTTGATTTTCACATTGTGTGAAACACAAACACAACACACTGAAGTCATGTGCAATTTGATCCAACTTGAAAGATAGGATCGCTTACATCCCAATTTATAATCACAATAATATTTTATTGCCTTAGCAAAATGTAGCCGGGTCTGCTACTAATACTGTAAAACTTAAAGTTAAAACATACAGGTAACAATGAAAGTGACTCCCACTTAGCATATAAACTGTAGTATTATAACCAAGTTACACACAGCGCAAAATTTCTAATGTGGCATTAAAAATACAGATAACCCTAAATTTTCATCTATTTACCAGCAACAATATATTTTCATACTCTGAGTGATAAGGGATGTACACCCCTAACCTTTTTTTTATTTATTGGACAAACTTTTTTATCTTTTATAATATGGCATTAAAAATTACATAGAACACTAAATTTTCAACCTTCTATCACCAACCCCTATTTTATAAAGCAATTTTAATTTATATGGCATAACAATGTGTGCCAGGTCAGCTAGTTATTAATATAACTATCAAATACTCTTTGGTACTCCTTGTCTATATACTACGGTGTTTCCCAATTAGTGGTATGCATACTCTCAGGGTATGTGAAGCTGCATCAAGGGGTACGTGCGGCTATCAGTAAAACAAACATACACACACACTCACAAACTTTCACACTTGTAATATTAGTGTGATTGCTACAATAATGTCTTTTTTGAAGCGGTACCTAGCAAAAACTATTTTTTTTTATGGATGATATTGGAATAGTGCGCTGCCTGCGCTAACGGTTTACACTGGCAGGCACCAGTGGAGGATGATAAGATGAACTTGAACTAACCTATACTGTAAAGTTTCATCAAAATCCGTTCAATAGTTTTTGAGTAAAAGAGTAACAAACCTACAACTGTACTCACAAACTTTCACATTTATAATATTAATAACATTATTTCCAGTCTGCAGTGAATACAAACCAACTACAAGTGTGTTGGGAGTGTGAAAGGCTGTTATCTAAAGTCATAAAATTCCAGCATCATGTACGCAGAGCCAATGAATTGCTGCAGATGGGTCAGGTACAGTTTATTTATAAACAAATGCAAATAAATATTTTAAAATCGGTCCAGTTATTTCAGAGATTAGCCAGACAGACAACAAAAATTGTGAAAAATGTTATTTTGGTGTTTGTACCGTATTTATACATACATATGAAATGTATGTAGTAAAAAACTGTTATTTCAATATTACAAACAGACACTCCAATTTTATTTCTAGAGATAGTAGATAGACTAAGTGTTCCAAAGACTATTTGATAGAGTTATATTAATAACTAGCTGACCTGGCACACATTGTTTGCCATATAAATTAAAATCGCTATTATAAAATAGGTAAAGTGATTGGTGAAAGAAGAGTGAAAATTTAGGGTTGTATGTATTTTTAATGCCACATTATAAATTAAATTAATATTAGGGGTGGACTATATTTATAACTTAGGGCAAAAAATAGATAGTAGCCTATAGTAAAAAATAGATTCTCGGACCTACTGAATATGCATATAAAATGTCATAAAAATCGGTCAAGACGTTTCGATGGAATATGGTAACTAACATTGTGACATGAGAAGTTTTTATAAGTATTGACATAATGAGCCTAGAAATTTAGAATAGGTTTTTTTAAACATTTGTTATAGATTTTTCTTACATATAATACATATTTATACCATATATTTGTTTGTTTCCTATGTATATTATGTATGCATTTCATACAAAAAAGTTACCTATTTATTTCTATCAGTTGTCTAGTACCACAAGCTCAACTTAGCTTGGGACTACATGGCGCTGTGTGAATTGTCTGAAAATTGTTATTTTCATTATTTATTTATATGGCCTTCCGACCTCTCATACATTCAAATTGAAAAATAATATATTCATGTAGGACATTGTAGCAGCTTATGAACATCAAGTTTTTTATATAATATTGTAGCGCGGTGGTTATCCTCATCACTATAGCGTTATATATGTTGTGATGAGGTGGCGCTACATATTGTATTAGTTATTGTAGTAGGTCAGGGATGTTATGGATATGAAATTTCGGATACGGATATAGGAACGATTATTATACCGGATACGGATGCGGATATGAAATTATTTCGGATTATCCGTTAGTTTTGGATAATTTCGATTATGGATATTAATTTTTTAAGGAATATCAAAAGTAAAATACAAATAGCTAATGATATGGTTACATAATGTGTCTCAATTAGGCTCCACTCCTATCCGATATTATCCGACACTTTTGTTTAGGATTCGGTTACGGTTACGGATATGTTTTCATATCGGATATCCGATAGTTTCGGTTACGGTTCCGGAGATCCGTAACATCACTAATGTAGGTAGTGAGTATACCGGTAAAATGATTGTGCGATTTATTGTATATTATTAAGTTTATTAGTAGTTATGTTACATGGCTTATTAATAACGTGTCGACGCGGAGTCTATCTATGTATCTTATCTATCGTAAATCTATATAGTCGAGACGTAAACTAATGGAAGGGTCTCAAGTGTCGACAGAAATATTATGACTATTATTATTTTTATTACAGAATATTATCTATGCATCCCTCTCCAACCTGACAACGGTAATAATAAATGACTCCCATCCACACACAATATATGTGAACCAAACAAACATACAATCATACATAGAAACAAATGAAAATAATGAAATTAATTCTTTTGATGGCATCGATAATGAAGATTTAAATGAAATAGACTTTAAAAAAGGTGATTTAAAAACAGAATTGAATGACACTGGCTTGGAATCAAATACAACATTAAAAGAGTTTAAAACTGAACTGAAATGCACAGAAGATGAACTAGAAAAAAATGTCACAGATAAAAAATCTAAATCTAATAATAAATGGGCTAAGAAGCGTGCGCTACAGAATAAAAAACCTAAATTTAAAATTATCGAAAGTGATAAAGCTTTTATAAAAGTACAAATAAGTCCAGAGGACTTGAGAGAGCATATAGAGAGTGAAAGAGTTAGAGGGAGTTATAAAATGAACAGATTTAAATGTGAGACTTGTATGATGGGATTTAATAAAGAAAGTCAACTTAAAAGTCATAATGTTAGACATGATAAGGTTAGTTACCTTATACAACCTAGAATAGTAGTTTTTTAATGTAATTCAAATGGAAAGGCTGTTGGCCCGCTTGATGGTAAGTGATGTACCCGCCTGCGCTAGCGGTTTACGCTGGCAGGGCACCAGTGGAGGATGATAAGATGAACATGAGGTCAGGTCAGTTAGCACATCGTGTAGTCCAATTTCCAGGGACAACCGTGTGGAAGTCAACCTGACATGGGACATTGCTAGCAATGGGGTTATCAGTACTGTTCGAAGTAAGTAGAGCTATTTAGTATCATTGACCTCAGACATTAGTGTTAATAAGGATCAACCCGCGACGTTTCCGCTTTGTCGTGATATCCCTGCATAATGCGCTCTCGCTCACACGTACAGGTAGTGTCACAGGTGTGACTAGAGTGACGCACCTATTTTTGTCTCTTTCTGCACTGCAAATATCCATATTATTTTATCACTAGCTACCTACCCTGGCTTTGCATGGGTGTATATATATTACCTTCGTCTTGAACCACATTATTTAAAAAAAGAGCTTCAAAATCCGTTGCGTAGTTTTAAAGATTTAAGCATACATAGGGATGGACAGACAGCGACAGCGACTTTGTTTTAACTATGTAATGATATATAAATGATATAAAATAGATCTACCTGCTCCGAACTCTGGTTATCAGTCCACATTACTAACAATCCCCTTGCCACTCCCCCACTCTGAATTATCAAGGGATATTTATTATTATTTTTATCTTTTCCAGGGGCGGCCGTACATTTGCGACGTATGTAATACTAGCAAACAGGACAAGAGACGTCTATCCGCACATATACGAAAACATTACTACAAATATATATGTTTATTATGTAAAATCACGTGTTATGACAGCAAGCATATAAACTCCCACATGAAAGGACATAAGAAAGCGTTTGAGTGCTTGAAATGTGGACTTAAATTTGGGTAAGCATTACCTATTAATTAATTAGAATAGAAAATCATTTATTTTATTTGATGTGCTAACTGACCTGACCTCATGTTCATCTTATTATTCTTCACTGGTGCTCCGTTAGCGCAGGCGGGTGGATCATTTCATTATCATCAATAAGAAAAAGGTTGAGATGGGGCATGGTACAAAAAAGGTTGGGAATGTTCTAGATGTCATATATACTTTGCGGAGTTAGTCTAGAAATCTACTATCTGCCAACCAGCTCGCTTTGATTAGTAAATTTTATTACTGTAAATATATGAAATCATACATGGAGGGAAGCGCCTTGCAAAACTAGTTTTAGTAACAGGTTTAGGAAGGTTACAGAAACGCTAGGTGGTAGTTCTGGGGTTATTTGGCAATTTTTAGTTAGATTATGGTTATGGATGATAGCTCTTATAATGTACAACTTTCGGACGCTTAGTACTTGCGCAGCGTTGTAAAGGAATGTGTCAGTGAAGTTACAGGATAAGAGACAGTTGAGTGGTATCACGGGTGGCATGATAACGTGATATCCGTAGTATTATCACTAACCCAAAGAGAGACTATGCATAAGTAGTGTTATAGTCTTATTATTATTATTCCAGAAGCCGTCGTGAGTTCTTCAAACACTTCAAGGACTGGCATGAGAAATTCATTTGCAATTACTGTGGCATTAGTTTTAAGATGCGGTACTGCATTAAAGACCACATCAGGTATGTTTTGATATATATATATGGACGGCCTCAGAGGTCTAGCGGTAGCACACTGGTTATGGGTGGATTATTACTGGGATGGGTTCGTTTCCTCGCACGGGCCAAATATTTGTATTCCAGAGTATAATTGTTTGTATCAGTCTGGGTGTTTTCTATGTATAATATGGATGTATTTACGAAAAAAATACTATGTATATGTATCAGTTATTTAGTACCTATAATACAAGCTTTATCTACCTTAACTTGGGTTTGGATGGCGCTGTGTGAATGTCCTGAGATTATTATTATTATTTAAAAAAATAAATGTGTCTAAGTATGTCTAGTACCCATAACGCAAGCTCTAATTAACTTGGGACTAATGAAATAACGTAAGTTTGATTATATCCTGGTGATCTTATATGAAATATATAATAAACCTTACATAGTATAAAATCAAGTTGCTTCCGCTGTCTATTTCCCTATATCTTTTAAACTACGCAACGGATTTTAATGCAGTTTTTAGCAATAGATAGAGTGATTCAAGAGGAAGGTTTATATGTATAATACATGGTTTAAAAATGTAATTTAATTGAGTTTCTTGCCAGTTCTTCATTGGATCTATATACTGAACTGGACGGTAGGGAAAAAGTATAATGTAAAAAAAAAAATTATATTTTATTACTAACATAGGATAAGTTATGTCATTAAGCTGTTACTAACAAAATGTATCATATTGTCTAAAACAAAATTATTATTATTATTAAAAAAAAATTAATATCATAAGCGCCTAAAATGTCCTACATGAATAAATGATTTTTTAATTTTAAATTTAATTTTTATATCTGTGATAATCTACAGAAAACAACACAGCCCATTTGAGTGCAAGCCGTGCAATAAGCGCTTTGCTAGATACAACGGCCTCTGGCTTCACAACAAAACGCATCATATGGAGAGTCCACCAGCCGCCGCTTACTGCGTCGAGTGCGACAAACGCTTCGCCGACATCTACAGATACAGATGGCATTTGGCAAACAGCGCTAAACACAAGCCAGTCAAGAAGGTGAGGTGAGTCTAATTGTTGTGGTTGGGTTCTTTTGCGCTGGATGGTATGTATAGTCAAATAAATAATATCGTTTGCAGAATAGATTTGTGTTAATTTAATCATTTTTTACGATTATGTGAAATTTGATACTAAACCGTAATCGATAAGACAACCTAACACTAATATTATCAACACTATTCGTTATAATAAAGTACTGGGTTGATTGCCAGAAACGCTTCGCCGACATCTAGAGATATAGACAGAATGTAGGGGTTGTTCCTACACTTGTTGATAATGATGATTGATATTGATAATGATAATTGATAGTTATAATTGATAATCTACGGGGATGATAAATAAAAGATACGTCCCGTATCTGATGTTGTACACTGATTTATTGTATAGTAATATATGTATAGTGAAAATATAACGTAAGTGATAATTTATAAGTATATTATTATTATGGTACGGTGGTACATCCTGCCCCTCTAAAAAGAAAATTCTATATTCGAACATTAAACAAAAATAATAATGAGTCTTAATTTTAAATGATATAAAGTTATTTTACATGCTATATGATTGAACAATATTTATCTTACAACTAAACAAACTATAACTAAACACTAATTACACAACACAAGAAACGTTACAATATTCCCGAACTGACGTAGTTTGAGATTTTGTTGATAATAAATGTACAAAATATTCACCTCAGGAATCAAATAATCTTTATAAAAACCTCTTTCCTTTTCTGTGTAAATTTCCCTTATTATATTTTCTGATGGATAATGTATCCTCATTGTACAATTATTTTTGTTTTGTTGTAATTAAAAAAACATAAAATAATTTAAGTAGTGGTCACTCTATTCTCAAATTTGAATTTTAAAAACTATATTTATTATCATGTTCCAATATTATTTGAAAAAAATACGAGCTGAGTTTCTTGTAGTTCTTCTGATCTCGATATCATACTGAGAGATTTGACATATCGTAATAGAGCTACATGAATAAAGATATTTTGAATTTGAATTGAATTTGTAGTCGCTGTGGGAATTGTCCTGAGTTATTATTATTAATGCTAATGCAAAAAATACTGGTATAACTATACTTTTGTATTCGATTTTCTTATGATATGCTTATTTTGTTACAGAGTGCCGTGTCCGGACTGCGAGAAGGTGTTTACAAAGAATATCTACATGAGAGATCACTATAATTTGGTGCACTTAAAGTATTATAAATACCATTGCGAGCAATGTGACAAGGTTAGTATTGTTCATGTTAATATTCCAAGGAAATGATAAACAAGATCTAATCACTACGACTGATTTATTCTTATTTAATTACTCAACCAGTTGGTTGTATATTTAATATTTTCTCTATATGAGTATTTAACTGAATTAGTTTGTAGTTAGTTTAAACATTTCAACTTAAACATGTAAAATAACAATAAAATTATTTAAAAGAACAACACGGAAGTTTCTTGCTCGTTCTTGTGATGAGACAGCTTTCCGAATGAGCAGTAGATAAAAAAAATGTGATGACTATTCAAAAGTGCTTTAATTTAAGTTTGTTTAAATAAATGATTATCTATTCTAAAGTGACACCCCACCTGATGGTAACCGTTACCTAGTTAGCTGTCACGGCAAATGCTGGGTGTCTGGCGTGTTGCCAACCTTGCACATTAATATTATAGATGTTTTTTGTAATTTGTAATTGTTTTACGTGTGTATGTGTGTGCATATGTATATATATATACATACATATATATTTGTAATATGTATGTTAAATGTGTGTATGTATATTTATATCATTAATGGTTATCAATTAATGTTATTTCTTCTTTCTTCTTCATCTTACGAAACAGCTTCCTATTCTTATTGTATGCTGTAATAGTGTAAGCTGGGAGTGAGAAGAATTCAAAATTTCGTAACGTTACATTTTAAAATATAATATGTCACATATTTAATCATTTTTAGCATATGAAAATACTAAAAATGATTAAATATGTGACATAAACTTTCATCCTTACCTCGGTGGTTTAGCACATCGCCTTACTTCCGATGGCCGCGGGTTCGATTCCTCGCACGGCACATATATTTATATTCATAAGTATGATTGTTTGTATCGATCTAGGTGTTTTCTATGTATTTACAAAAAAAAAAGTATTTCTATCAGTTGTCTCTAACTCTAACACAAGCTCTGCATATCGTAGGACTAGATGGCGCTGTGATAATTATCCAGGGCTGTTTATTTATTATAATATTAGTATGGTATATAGGTATAATATCACTATACTATTCAACAGAATTTCATACGCAATGCAGACCTGGTGAAGCATAAGCGTCGCATCCATGACGGCATACTGCCGCCACGCAATAAGATCTGTTACATATGCGGCAAAGGGTTTACGGTGAGTAAGTCATATTCTAGAGACCAGACCGTGAATCAGCAAATACAATATCATAATTATAATTAAATTTATCGTCGATGCTTCACACAGCTGCTGTACAAATATTTGAATTTCACGCTTGTTCTATATTATAACACGCATGTATTAAACATTTCTCTTGAATCATAATCTATTGCTGAAAACTGCATTAAAATCCGTTGTGATTTAAAAGATATAATATGAATAATAGGGAATAGACAGCGGCGGCGACTTTTTATAGTATGTAAAGATTCATCAGCAAGAAAACTATTATATATTACTACTAGCTTTTGCCCGCCGCTTCGCTCGCGTTAATTTATCCCCTTGGGGTGGAATTTATCAAAATCCTTTCTTAGGGGATGCCTACGTCATAGTAGCTTTATGCATGCAAAGTCTCAGCCCGATCGGTTTAAAATTGACAAAGTTTCATACAAACTTTCATTCCTTATTTTATCCCCTTGGGGGTAGAATTAATCAAAAACCTTTCTTAGCGGATGTCTACGTCATAACATCTACCTGCATGCCAAATTTCAGCCCAATCCGTCCAGTGGTTTGGGCTGTGCGTTGATAGATCACTATGTCAGTCACCTTTGAGTTATATATATGCCAAGCCCCAAGGTGGTAAGCAATCTGCAGATACACAACCTTTATTTGTGTATTTAAGTTTTAATAAATAAATGTTCACCAGCTAGATTTATCTAGAAGTTTAACACTCCGCCGAACATCCAATCGTCGCCGGTTAGATTCCTCAAACATTTGTATCCATTAGTATGATTGTTTCATCTGTGCGGTGTTTTCTATATATATTATGTATTTAAAAAAAATATCTATATATTTATACTAGACTAGTAACCATAACACAAACTCTGATTAGAGACTAGACCATGAATTACTGATATATTATTATTATTTTTAAAAAATTAACATTTATTTCTTTAATACATATTCTGGTTAGCTTGATATTATATGGCGCTGTGTGAATTGTCCAGTGATGATATTATAATATATATAACATGTTAAACGCCTTGTAACCGGTGACCTCATAAAAATGACCTCACTTTAGTGTTTAATAAGTATTTGAGCGTCGGCGCGTGATTTTTTCTAGTAGTACGACTAGAATGACCAGCGGTACAACAATACTCTCTTATGACTTCGCGGCTCATGCGAATAGAAAATGTGTTTTTGTCCCACAGCGCCACGGTGGTCACTGGTGACCGAAATGAATTTTCTTTATTTTCCTGGAAAATTTCTGTCCCAAATTAAAAAATAAATACGTTTTAATGTTTACTGATGTCATAAAAGGATTTTTTTTTCATACAGTTAAAAGGGTTTTTGTCATTTTTACAATGGCGTTGAAAATGTTAAAAATGTACCTACCTACATATTTCTATCAGTTGTCTAGTAACCGTAACGAAGGTTTAGCTTGGGATTATATAGCTCTGTGTGAATTGTCCTAAATAAAAATATGTTTTTTTTTTCAGACAAATAAGATATTAACAAATCATATACGCACTCACACGGGGGAGCGTCCGTTTTCGTGCGCACAATGCGGCGTCCAGTTCGCACATCGAGCGGCCTTACACGCGCATGGACGCGTCCACACCGACACACTCACGAGGGCAGAAGGAACCTAGCATTACGGCTGAATGTGTTAGCCATACAGGATCTTTTTTAAAATATTTATCACTATAAATATAAAAAAAATTCCTGTATGGCTCTGCCTTTCATGTGTCCCGACATTCTTTCAATTGTGCAATTTAGCGCGGTAAAGCCAGCGCGCTTAGTATTTAGTGATTGTATTTTATGTATTCATTCTTTATTGCACTATTTAAAATAAATGTACAATTGATGAGCTTAATGTATTCTGGTATTCTCAACCAGCTAACCATTTGGTAAAAACAGAAAGCGGTTGAAAGGTGTACTATTGGTATTTACCTAACTTAGGTAAATGTGTCAATACCAATATGCTTACATAACAATAATATATACGTACTTAAATACTTACTATAATAGATATAATATATATAAATAAATAAATAAATTTATACATAATAAAGACTTTTATTTTTGTTATCACTCGCGCGCGATACGTGTACGTTTCATTTCACTTTTAAAATTTTAGTTTTATTCCACATATTTTATTTTTCAAAGACATGTTCAAGTATTATATATTATCAATAACTCTATAATTATATCTTTGCTCTATAGTCAAATGTCCTCCATTTTACAATATTAATTAATTATTATAAAGCCGCACACACGATTTTTGCACGCGGAAATGAGCTCACTGTTTGCGTGCGCCGTCTCTCTTTCTTTTTGTCTACATTTACATGCACATTCGTTCCTGCGTGAAAGAGCGTACGTGTAAAGACAGATTATGGCGTATATTTGTCACAAGTAGTTTTATTAAAAGAAAAACGTAAATGTTAAATATATACAAACATCCTAGCTATATATTGAAATATATAATCAAGAAGGAATTGTAATTTTATTTATATCTATTATATATAGGATATCATAGCCTAGTGGTATACCCTAAAAAACGCCCAAGAGGTCGTCCTATATATAGGTATAATCTGACGGACATCAGAAAAAACTTGTGTACTATATTTCTGGTTAACTCCGATAAAGGAAATTCCGTTATCAAACCAAAAAATAGTCCGCGATGGCAGTAAGCTTATGATGTATACAAAAACATACCGACCGAATTGCGATAATCAAAACATACACATTTGGCATTATCTCTGACTACCTAATTGAGTTTAATTAATAATTAATTAACGATATTATTAACTTTATTATTATTAAGTTTAATTAACGGTATCTGTGTGTTGTGGACTTCATAGTGTATTGCTGGCCACTTAAAAGCTACTTTTTTACTTTAAAAATAATGTACATGATTTTGAGTTGTTAATTTTGTCATACGAATATATACGATTTAACTTTTTTTTTGCATCGATTTATTCTATATAGTTATCGAGTAGATGCAATCGCTTTCTGCACATGTATATAGAACCGACATACAAATATATATATCCATACATACATAATATCCACCACATTGTGTGTAATGAGCATCATAAGATATAAATATAAATATTTGTCTGCGTATGTACCTACCTCAGTCCCATTTTTTTTAACCACCAAACAGCTTGCTCTGTAAGCTTTTTCAGTTGTAGTATGCAGTTTGGCGTTGATATTACAAAATTATCCTGTAACGCATGACATATTAGTCCTTTGGAATGATAAGTACGTATCACGACTATCACATAGATGCTGCTCTTATATATAGACTAACTGTTCCCGCCACTTCGTCCGCGTAGAATTTAACTTTATTTTTCCAAAATAAAAGTAGCCTAAGTTATTCCTTATTACATCAGCTACCTGCCAAAAAAGTCCCGTTAAAATCAGTCTAGCCATTTCAGAGATTAGCCGGAACAGACAGACAGACAGACAGAAAAATTGAAAAAAATGTTATTTTGGTATATGTACAGTATTTATATTCAAATGCCTGTAGTAAAAAACTGTTATTTCAATATTACAAACAGACACTCCAATTTTATTTATATGTATAGATGTATAGATGACCGTTACCACTTACCATAAAGTGGGCCGTCACCTTATTTATCATTACCAATAAAAATATTAATGACATATTTTTATGCAAGTTAAGTTATTGGTTTTCTCCTAATCCCAATTGAAGTTATAAATTACATAAGAAAACAAACTGTGTCAATTCATTAGATAAATATATTTGTTAATGATTTTCCGGTGGTTTAATATTATTTTATAACTCAATATCTGAACCGGTTTTATCCGGTTTGAACAACCGTTTTTATTTTTTTCAAACTATTCTAATGGAGTTAGCCGCATCTGGCCTTTACAGCTTCACCGTCTTCTTACATAGATTATCGGTAAACTCGTGTTTAGTGGTCTGTCCGGGTCTGCACCGGTTTCCGTCGCTTGTGCCTGTCGTGCAGCAGCTTGCGGTGCGTGTAGAGAGCGCCCGATTGCGCGAACGTGGCCGCGCACTCCGAGCACGAGAACGGACGCGCGCCCGTGTGCGCGTTCATGTGCTGCTGCAGCCCGGACTTCGTCTGGAAACAGACCATTGTCAACTTTATGACAATGCACTTAGGTGCCCTTTACAACAGAAAAAAATAAATTACCAATTTTTGTGAATTGATGTAAGTAATGAAAGAGGGGCTAATGTGTAGGGACTGGCAATCTACCTGACATATGATCTAAATACATATAATCAACTTTATTGTTACGGAACTCTTTAAGAGTTATTAGAAAGATTTACTTTTTTATATTTTTGACATGTATTTTAAAATGAATTTCTTCTTGTTGTACCTATATTGTTTTCCTCTCGTACCATATTATTCCTTGTAACATAAAAATAAATAATTTTCTAATATAATATAGTTTGTTTCGCGATCTTCTTCCAATCCTTCACGAAGTGGCGACCGTGAATAAATAATTTGGTGATTTATTAAAGAGCGATAAGAGAACGACAATTATTGAGTAAAGCGTAAGAGTAAAGAAGCGGAAATATGACAGTCTCTGTGAAAAACATGCTACGCTTAATGAAATAGTAAAATCTGTTCGTTGTGGTTATATAACGACGACAGAAACGAAGCAGAATTTGAAGTGGACATAGATACCACGGAAGAATATAAAAATAGATGGTATGCACTTAAGTAAGTCGCGCAGACCAGAAAATGAGTTTATGTTAACTTATAAAGATAGCTATAAAGTTATTTCAACTTTCATTTCAAATGGAACGGTAAGAAATATAACATGACATTTTGAACGTCGTTGACTATTACGTTTACCAGTTTCTACGGAACATTATATTTCAACAAAGCAAAAGTTCAACATAAAGATGTATAACAAATGGATTTTTTCAGTGGAACCAAAATATAAAATAAAAAGATTTTTTTAGCTATATAAGGACTAGAATATAGATAATGAAGACAAGTTTCAGTATATATTGCAATGTATGGATGCTTGTTCTAGTGCCAAAAAATTAGTAGAGAGCCTTCTAACAATGGAGATAATTATTTTAAAGCACCGCAGCAGAACCGCTGAAACAGAGATTTGCTGTTTCTAAAAAAGGCTTATAACAATGCAGTTATCTAGGTGCTTTTTAGAACAATAATTAGAAAACTTTACATGTTTACCATTGAAGATTTGAATTGAAGAATACTGATGTAATGAAATGAAAGGCTGATGCATCGAGACTGACACTCTACCTGTCATATGATCTAAAATCTAAATGAATCATTATCAACTTTATAACAATGCATTTAGCGTGTTATGACCAAATCAGCAAATTTAGAGACAAACTTGAATCGGAAGTAATCAAGCCAAATGTGAACGACTAAAAAATATTTTTGTACGACGCAATTAAAATATTATAAATGCAAAAAGATCGGTCACTACAAAACCAATGCCAAACGAACAGAAAATGAAGTTATTTTCAGTGCTGCGTTTTTAAATGGCCAATATAATTCAGAATATTGGTATTATAAACTCTACTATTATTAAAAATAATGTTTCTTGGACGTACATTGTTATTTATTAATAATAATAAACTATCACTACTAACGATAAACCCTTTAATGTGTAAAAAATGGTATGTGGATTCGAATGCAAGTATCAATATAATTGTCAATCAAGAAATATTATTGCTAGTTCGACAGGCAGATGAAATGAAGGTAATAATAGTTGCAAATAAAATGGAAGAGAATCAAATAAATGTAAGAGATCGCTAAAACGATAACACCTACCTTTTGTATCTACATACTTTACATATTCCGTTTTCTTATGTATTTTTTTAAGGTGCAACAAAAAGTAACAAATAAATAAATAATTTGTCTGTACCATTTATATGCGCCGGGGATACAATGATCACTACAAAAGTGAACGGTTCTCAGTTCGACATCACAGTGAAAAACGTTTCGTGCATTCCTAACCTGACAACAAATTTGTTGCCATTTGGCCAGTTGATAGAAAATGGAAATAGAGTGACCAAGAAAAAAAAAGAAAAATATTTGTCTTATAGTCCAATGAAATATTTGACGAAATATTTTAATACTTTGACGAAATCAAATTTTAATTATATATATAAAAAAATTGTAGATTTCTTAACTGCTCATTTAAAATATAATAATATATATGTTCAAATTGCTCGTGAAGATGTTGATGTTCTAACTGTAAATCAGCAATAATAAAGAAAGAAAGAACTAACAGCCAAGTTAATGTTACAGGGTTACAGGGAATGATACAGATTTATTTGGACTAATGATTGCTCTCTCACCAGATTACATAAATTTAGATTTTTGTAAAGCTTCTACTTCAAAAAACCCTACACACCTCCACTCAACAGCAATTCACATTAATATGAAACCACATATTTTGTTTGTCTATGATTTCGGAGGCTGTTATTCGACTAGTGCTTTATTCCGAAAAGGCAAGAAAACTATTTTGAATCTTATGCAAAAAGATAAAGTTTTACAGGATGCATGTCAAAACTTTGATAGCTCTCAAAGCTTTAGTGGCACTGGCATGGCATTCTAATAATAATATTATAATGCCATAAGAAAAGAAAGACTGTCACTAAAGATAAATAAAAAAATGACACACAGACATTGAGAAACCTTAATGTTATAGGTTTACCAGATTAATATAACCATATTATGTACAAAATGGGTAAAGAATCAATAACAACTGCGAGTCTTTTTAAGTAAATTGGTAAACATGAATAAACAAACAATAAAAATAATAATTCTGACGCCTGTCTGGCTGTTGCTACCACTGTTTTATTCTCAATATACGGTTGCAAATAAAATTTTATTTTATCACTATTACATTTAGCATAAGATGCTACTAATCAAGAACCAGTGACGCCTCAATATCACGCAAAACAATACTTACTTCAAACGCCTTAGAACAGATGGTGCAAATTTTGTTCTTCGGTCTGCACTTGCCTTCGTGCTTCAACCGGACGTGAACACGCAGTCGCCGCGACGTACTGAACGCCTGCAACGATACAAGTTACTGGAGACTGTGTAGCACACACAGCATGCATCTTACGTGGTCTTTGTACAAATTCGTCTGTTAAAGTAGTACCTCAGTCTCGCCTATTTCCGAAGAAGTTGGCTTCGTTAGCTGTTTCAGTTGTATGGTATAATTAAAAATTACAGGATAACAGGCATGATAATTTAATTCTATAGAATTGCAAAGCATGAGTGATATTACAAGCATTACGTGATAATGCGATTTACCATTTACCATGAAGTGGGGCGTAATTTTTCTCAATTTCTGTCTCACCTATTTCTGCCACTAAACAAAAGCTATTTCGGTCTGTACCTAAATCATCAGTAATAATAACGCAGGAGTGGTAACCTTGGTTTTTTTTTCGAACTATTTTAATATTGCCTTTACAACTCCACTGAACGATAAGGGGCGAATATAGATGGCACTACAAACTCGCGGAAGGACGTATGGAACGGCTCAAGGCCAACTCCTGCCTGACGCTAATACGCCTTTTGTTTGAGAGCACCGTTCGGCTCAGGCCGTTGGAATTTCGATTTTCCTTTGAATTATTATATCACGTGACAACTGTACTGTCCGTGATGCTATAGGCGACACGACGGTTGAGAGGCTGTGGTAGGGAGTGATCATCCGCGCGCCTGGTTAATCCCCCAAAAACAATGTGAGGTGCCCACTATACGTCGCTGGAGTCGCGATTACGATCCCGCTACTCCGGCGATTTTGATTTATTAGTACATAAAAAGCAGCAAAATATATCATGCTAGTCTTACTTGGTCGCACAGTTGACATGTGTAGATCATTTCCTTCGTGTGTATTGACTCTATATGATGTTTGAGACACGAGGCGGACTTGTATCGCTTGCCACATTGATCACATTTGTGTCTGCAAAATAAAAGAGAAACGAACATCTTAGCGTCTATGAATTCACGGCCTGGACCATCGTGTAGCAGAGAGGGAAGCAGAGCAGTTCCTGAGACTTGTGACCCGGGTACAGGTTTAGGGGGACCCTTTGTCGTCGTACGTCAATATTCACCTTCACCACTCGTATTTCTCTCCCTGCCCAGTCTAATACCAGACTCGTACCAGACGAGTCTGTCACTGCAACTTTTGACATACATAGACATACATGTTCTAGTATAGAACTCACTGCATTTCTATATAGGCCAAGATCTTTTAAAAGATTGTAGAGAAGATGTTAGATTTAAGTTTCTAATGTAACAAAACGCAATGTAAGCGCATAAGTAAATGATGTAACAAAACGTAATATGCCATCTTTGTATGATTGGTTGTAATTAAAAAAAAATAAAACTACTCTTTGTCTGAAAGTCAACGTGTTTAAATAGAAAATTGCTATTATCATAATAGACAGTGTAGTGCCTAGTGTTTTCCTACCCATGAATGCAAATATTTGTATCCTGCAAGAATCGAACCTATTGACCACCGAGACCGGCATTCTGCTTCTATCAATCGAACATTATACAGTAGTGAGGTACGAAGAAATGTTGGTTGTGAACTCAATTGTAAATTTTATTTACGATGATGGCGCTGTGTGAATTGTCAAAGAGTTTTATTATTAATAATAATACAAATAGGCATAACTTACTTAAGATCTTCAACTGAGATATGTTTGAGACTAGTACGTAGATGTGTGCGGTATATGTACGCAGTTTTGAATTGAACATCACACTCTGCGCAGTATGCACCTTCCATTTTCTGGAATAATAAAAATACGACGGTTATCCTAGATGGATTACTGATTGATTACTCCTTTGTCAAGTGTACAAATTGTTGTGAACTCAATACCTGATGTCGTATACGTGGGAAAGAAAAAGAAACATTGTGGCGTCTCTAGCACACACTGCTGGCGTCATACGGGCCTTTAGCTGTGAATGGCGAGTGAGAATAGCAGTGTGTCTGAGAGCCGGTAATTAGGAGGACAAACAGTATATCTGACTGGTATGGATTCTTACAAAAAGGACAATGGTATCATCATGCCCAATGGGGACATTATAAAAACCCAAAGGCTTTTCCTTTGGGTTTTTATAATGTGACAAATTATACGTGAGGTGAATCTGAATTTCTTTAAAGAACACTTAAAAATCTCTCGCCTGAAATAAAATTCAACCTCACGGCGAACAGATATTTTGTCACAAAGGGAATTGTGTTGTGTTTTTGGATTAAAGAGCTATAAGTTTTAAAAGGATGGAAATATTATTAGCGGGGTTGAAATCAGGGTTGTCATATGTATCGTATGTCATAGATATTACAGACTTTCAGATAAAAACAGAGGTGAATAAGTGATAGTTAATTTGACTTTTAAAGGATAGCATGCTAGACCGAAGCATCAAAATTTAATTTATAGTAATGAATTCTTAAGTAACAATGACATAAAACAATTATATAATAGTAACATACCAACGAACAGTTCGGAACAGTTGTACCACAAGGATCTAATCTTGGTTCATTTTTACTTCTATTTTGTTACATTAATTATCTCTTGTTTGTCATGCAGGATAAATGCGGTTCAGTCTACGTATTCAAGAAAATCGAAAAAGGCATTTGTATTAAATAAAAGAGTATTATACTACACTGGTGTCCCGTCAGCGTTTACTCTTAGTGCACGCGGGACGTACCATCACACATAATACTCCTATAGGAACTATAGATCTCGTACTTACCTGTTCGCAGTGCGCCGTCCGTCTATGTAACCGAATGCCTGACTCGCTTCTATATTTTTTGTTGCAAATGTTACATTCGAATGTAACCGATGTGTGGATACTGTAATGAATTTGTTTTGAATTAATATAATTCGTTTACTGCTATTACCCAAACGATAGAGAAGTTAGACAGAAAGAAAGTCAAAGAGAAGCGACCTAGTCAAAATGTTTACTATCCACAACTTCAACACCTAAGTTCAAATCTCATTAACACAAAAAAAACCACGTGCCAATGGAAGAACCGATAACGAGCCATATTAGTCCGAGAGGACATCTCTTTATAAAATAATATAAAGTAAATTCTATAAATCTAGAATTGCGTTAGGTAATTAATAATAAGATGACCGGTATACGATCGTCGTATTTTAGTGATCAATTTCAAGCGACCGGCAATACGATCGAGCAATTATAATTTCAATTACTTAGTTTTATATTATAGATTGAGGGTATTGTTTTATTTTAGGTCTTATTATTTGATATATTATTTTTGTGTGTCTTTATATATTTAAAAAGGCATGTGAACAGGAGCGTATACAACTTATCCATATGGTACCAATTAAAACCAACCAACCACATTTCAACGTCGATCCAAATAGACTATATAGATTTATAGCGACCTGAGACGACCTCACCATTATGTATGATGTTATGTAAGATGTCTGTTCACGTTGGGTAGAGATATTTCCACTAAAGAGCACCATGAGCATGGATTATGCCAAAATCTTGATAGATGAGGTATTTTTAAGGTTTGGGGTCCCTCGCAGGATGGTCAGCGACAATGGCGTTCAGTTTGTTAGCGGGTCATACAGCAGGTTTGCCATGTCTTCAGGATTGAACAGTCGTTGACTCCGTATTATCACCCCGAAGCGAACCCAGTCGAGCGTAAGAACCGCAACTTGCCATTCTCGTAGGTCAAGATCACGCTTCGTGGGATTTGCACTTGATCACTGTGAGATTTGTTATGAATTCAGCTGTGACTCACAGCACTGACTACTCGTCAGACATGCTGATGTTTGGGCGAAAAATGCGCGCCCCTGTCGATGTTGTCGACTGCCTCTCCTAACGCACAACGTTAGTTACCACAAGTACGCACTGCTTTATTTAACTTATTTAATAGTTAAGTTCAACCGAGAACGTAGCCTACGGCCGAAAACCAATTGAATACATACCAGTAGTTGAATTAATTGCATTTCGGTACTCGAATAAATATTTTGATTGATTTGATTTGGCGACAAAATATGGCGGCAGAAAGAGACAAATTTTATGCTGCACCAACAAATTTTATGCTGCACCAACCAATAGACGAGACGCCGGTATAATGGGCGGCGAGATTAAGAGGTCTCGCTGCAAGCTGTGATTTTAAAAACATCGAAGAAACAAGAAGTACTTGCTGGACAAATTTGTAATGGGGGCTACCGGGCCATGAACGTGATAAAATGTTTGCTCAACAAATTCAGGATATGACCTTGAGCAAGACTGTCGATGTGGCAGAGAGTATACGCTGTGCACGTATCGGCGCGGTGATGCTCCATGTGGACGGGGACAGTTACAGGAGACAGTTTTCAAGTGGAACTAGCGGGCTCCGTCTGCTGGGCCGTCCGGTCAAAGATTCAGTACGAAATGTTCAGTGTGTTATAATAACCATAAGGCGTCAAATTATCGATATGCTAGTTATAAGTGTAAAAAATGTAATCGTAAAGGTCATTTAAAAAGAATGTGCCCAAATAAAAAAGTGAATTATGTGGTACAAGGTAGGGATGATGACGAGGGTAATTAAGATGATGGTACGCCTTTATTTAATATACGTTGCTTCAACGGCATGTCTATGTCAGAAACCGTCATATTAGGAGATACTAAAGGGGCATTTCACGTGAAGTGGACAGGAAAAAAAGTTGAGTTTCTGAAAATCGATCATATTCGGCCCATTTATACTTCTTATATCATTATATTAAATGTTCAGTAAAATAATTATAAAAACCGGCTTCCATCGCGGAACTACAAATATAATAAAAAAAAATATTATAATCAATCCTTACTAATATTATAAATGCGAAAGTAACTCTGTCTGTCTGTCTGTCTCGCTTTCACGCCAAAACTACTGAACCGATTTAAATGAAATTTAGTACGCAGATAGTTTAGACGCCGAGGAAGGACATAGGCTACTTTTTAATGCGAAAAAAGGGTTGTAAGGGGTTCAAAATGGAAATACAAGGTTATCTTTATGCGGTTGAATCCTTATTCGTCATCTTTTCATTTCACTAGCTAACAACCAATCAACACATCGCGTGCGTTTGCGCCATTCGCCATCTTTTCATTTCACTAGCTAACAACCAATCAACACATCGCGTGCGTTTGCGCCAATAAGGTATCCATCACAGAGAACAAAACCACAGATAATGTAAAACGAAAGATCTTGCCGGAAACATGACGTTGACGTTTAGCGAAAATATTGTTTTTTGACACTTTTTTATGATAAAATCGTATATCGTGTGTATGTGTTTTTTCTTTACGTTTTTCGTTTTACAATATAAATTACAAAAAATTAAAGTCAATGTCTTATGTCAAATAATAATAAATGTCAAATATTGTTTCTCTGTTCTGACGAACTTATTAAAAGAAAACTTAATAACAATCACAATTTCTTCACATTTTATTATTTACATTTTTTAAATAATGTTGTGGTGTGGCACTCTCCGAAATTAAATTATTTACCCATTTTTGTAGGTTATACAGAAATAATGTGTGGGTGTTTATTTAAAAAGCATTAACACAAAATTAATAAAGTATAGGTATTAATAAATATATGGTTGTTGTATCAAAACAGAATTTTCTTATTTTTCACCAAAATAAAAACTAACTGCCTTTTTTATAAAATATATGAATGACCTTTTCATTGTGTCATATATTATGAAACTATTTAAATTATTTAACTGATTGTAAGAAACAAAATGTTGGTTTGTAGATTAATACTGTCAAATTACTATTTGTACGGAAACGACAAAAATATATTTTTGTACTGCGACAAAAATCCTTACTACTATTATACAGGCGAAAGTAACTCTGTCTGTCTGTCTCGCTCTCACGTCAAAACTATTGAAACGATTTAAATTAAATTTGGCACACAGATAGTTTAGACTTATTTTCTGTATGTAAATATAGTTTACGTGATTTAGTTCCGAAACGAATACTAGATGGCGCTGTATGGTTGTTGAAACTCGATATCATTTCGTTTTCTTCATTATTTAAATATGCACGATTGTAAAATTATAATATTCATCTTTCAGATACTATTCTTTGATATTAATTATTATTCTGTTGCTCTCTTATGTTGTTTTTCATTTCTAGGCTAGATTTATGGGTTATCTTAACGTTATTATTTTTAGATTAGAAGTTATCCAATATTATTACAATTTGTTTTGTTTATTATTATTTCTTTGTCATTATTATTTGTTTTGTTTATTTTTTAATTACGTTTTATCGCAGTACAATTTTTTTTTCTTTAATTTAATAAAGTAACTAGATATTTGTTTGTTTTTGTGAATCGTATCTTTGTAAAATATATTTGTTTCATTAATTTTGTAGTTTGCGTGTGTATTTTCGTAATACGTAGTTATCATAATCTTTTGAGTTATTTATGTCTTAAATATATAAGTGTATTAAATTAAGTTTTTTTTTAGGTTTACCGTCAAAAATAATATAAAGTGTAGTTATAAATCTTTTGGTAATTTGTTTTATTAATAGTACCTTTTTAATCAGGAGGTTTACATTTTGATTCGTGTGTGTTAGTTAGGTGTATGTTTGAACAGTCTTTTGTTCAGTTACATTGTTTTTATTCTAATAATATGCCTCGAAAACACAAATCTAATGTGTCGCGTAGTTCCAGCGGAGCTCGCGCTAAAAAAATTGCTAGAAGCCAAGAGTCTGTAGAGCACACTCAAAGCCGTTTAACTTTAGATGCCCAGCGGCATGCATCTCGAAGAGCTGCTGAGACAGAAGAGCAGAGTCAAGCGCGGCGGTTTTTAGATGCTGACCGTCACGCATCTAAAAGAGCTGCTGAGAGTGAGCAGGAATGCGTAGCGCGTCGGTTTTTAGATGGTGAGCGTCACGCATCTCATAGAGCTCTCGAGACTGAGGACAAAAGTCAAGGGCGGCGGATATTAGACGCTGAACGTCATTCATCTCAAAGAGCTGCTGAGACTGAGAAGGAATGTCTAGCGCGGCGGTTTTTAGATGCTGAACGTCACGCATCTGTAAGGGCTGCTGAGATACAAGAGGAAAACCAAGCGCGGCGAGTTTTAGATGCTCAGCGTCACGCGTCTCAAAGAGCTGCTGAGACTGAAGGACAAATTCAAGCGCGGCAGCTGTTAGATGCCGAACATCACGCATCTCAAAGGGCTGCTGAAACAATAGAAGAAACTCGAGTACGTCAACTTTTAGATGCAGAGCGGCATGCGTCATTGATTGCTGCAGAGTCCCATGAAGAATCACTACGAAGACGTGTTTTCAATGCTGAACGGCAGTCACAAAGGAGGAGTTTATTTACACGTAGTACGTGGGAGGCATTTACAGACGCTGCTTTTGGTTATGATCCTTTCATTGATTATGTTAATCATCAATTAATTGTTATAGGGCGAATGGATAAAAAGTGCACACATTGTGATGCACTAAAATGGAAAGAGGAAACTCCGAGTATGTGTTGTTCTGGTGGTAAAATTTCACTTCCATCCCTTGGTGAGCCAGAGGAACCTCTAAAATCATTGCTTATGTACGACAGTAACGAATCACAGCGTTTTTTGAACAAAATAAGAAAATACAATTGTTGTTTTCAAATGACGTCATTTGGGGTAGATAATGAAGTTGTTATGCCCGGATTTTCCACAACATTTACGATCCAAGGACAGATCTATCATAGAATTGGTTCGTTACTGCCTACAGATCAGCCAAATTTTTACAAATTTACTTTATGGGAGACGAAAATAGCGAAGTTGATTGCAGGTGTCAAAATATTCAAGGTGTTGAAAGAGATATCGTTATAAAAATTCAAAGAATGTTGCACAATCA